AGTCCTGTATCCTGCGCACTGCTCAAATGCTTGCTGCTTCGGGTTCGGATTCATAGGGTAAGGGTTTTAGGGGGGTTTAGAGTCTTCAGGGTTTCGGGGTTCGAGCTTTGTGGGGCCCTTTTCATGACCCTAAACCCTAATTAACCCTTATCCTCTCCATGACCCTCTGGACTTTCCCTAAAACATCAGGTGTCGCGCCCACTCAGTTGGCCTTAAAATCCTCGCGGGCCTCCGGGCACAGAGGATTCATTCGATGTTCTAAAATTAGGGATCCCTTTTGGGGGGGTCCCCATTTTAAGGCTCCATAGATTCGTAACTCTCCCTCTCGAAAAAAAACCCTTGACACTCGTCCATGACAAAAGAGTATCTTCAAAGGTTTAGGGTTTTCCTGCCTGAGCAAACCCTAAAGCCTCAAGCTCATAAAGACTTACCATTACTTTGGGTTCTCAAATTTCCTTGATCTCAAGACTTCAAAATTTCAAGCTCAAAATGACCCCCCCCATACCCTAAGGAATGGTAATAACCCAGTTGTAGCCTGGTTCAAAAATTTCTCCTGTAAGCGCCCCCGGGTGCCTCATCCACCGCTTCCCTCGAATCTTCACTCACACCGCCAGACACGCCGCACCAACGATTCGCATGGTCGTTCTCGAACACTTGCCCCAAACATGCAAGAACCTGTGGCCCATAGGGTCCATGTAGCTATATGGAATATACTTTAGCCCTGAAATAGTTATATAGGAACCCCTTTGGGTGGATGATGGGCAGTTGTGGGTTAAGTATTTGTGGTGTAGACCTTCCCTAAACCCTAAACCCCAAACCTTGAGGGCTTACAGGTACCCTCAAAAGAAAGCCACGCCTACGAATGATCCGGGCTCAAAACCTACACCCTGACTTGACATTACTATTGTTTAGGGTTTAGGGTTCTTCCCTTGGCAATCCCCCAAACAGTCCTTTTTTCAACCTCTTGCTGTCCAACATGATCCAGAGGCCAAGTAAGCTGCAGACTGCCTTACTTACTGGTGCGCAAGGGAAAACTGGGAAGTGGATCCCTGCCATAACTCCTACATAAACTCTCAACAGTAGTCCTCTGTTCACTCCGCAACTATCCCTAAGCACCGCTAAGTCTAGGTCCCTCAAGCTCAACTATCAGACATTCTGGCAAAATACTAAACAAGACCGGATCCATGTGTAACATGTGTGGGCATGCTGCCTCGGGCCATCAGGGGTTCCTTTTTGGGGTCCCGAGATTCAGGGTTGTAATATATGTACGTAGCATATGAAGAGGACCCCTATTTCTGCAAACTGCCATATTCGTAGGCCCTATTTATTCCAGAATCCTTCCTATTCCTACTACCACTGCTATACTGTTACTCTTGCGCACACATGAGCTATAGTCTAAACTCCTACAGTAGTATCCCCCTTAATAAACCCCCATAGTAAGCCCCGACACAATCCTCCTATATAACCACCCCCTTTAAGGAGTTTAGACCCTAAACCCTAAATCCTATCTAAACCCCTATATGATATAACCCCCTTTTAAGAAGTTTAGACACTCATAAACCCTAAACCCTACACCCTAAATCCTATATAACCCCTATCGCCCCTATATTATATAACGCCTCTTTCAGGAATTTAAACTGTAATGCCATGCCTGTGCAACCGTGGCCGCTCTCAACAAACCTGGGACAGATCCAAAGCCCAGGGTTTAGAGTTTAGGGTTTAATGCTTAGAGTTCAGGGTTTAATGCTTAGGGTTTAGTGTTTAGGGCTTAGGGAGTCGACTTTTGAGACTTGGCATCCAGACTTTGCCTCGGTTTAAGGTTTAGGGTTTAGGGTTTGGGGGCGTTGAGGTTTACTATAGTAGTTGCCATTTACTTTTCTATATTCCGTATAAAGCCTTCTCAAATATAGTAATTTCCACTTTCTTTTCCATTATCCCTATATACCCCCCAAATCTACAATGGTAGTTTCCATTTTCTTGTCCATTACATACCTACATGACCCCAATATACCATAGTAGTTTACATTTTCTTTTCCGTTATACCCCTGACCTCAATATACTATAGTAGTTTCCATGTTGTTTCCATTATCCCTATATAACCCCACACCCTCAAGCACCGTGAGTGGAAGAGAGTGAAGATCGACTTTGAAGGCTTGAGGTTTCTCATCATAGCGGCATTATGAAACAATATACGCTAATATACCATGGTATAATAAAATACTAGCATATATTGGAATTTACTATAATACACAATGCCCAGGGATTATGGGGAACTTTTTAAAAGAGTGAGTCTAAGAAAGTACCGGATATTGGAAAGCGTTTAATGATCAGTGCCAAGCCGCCATAGAAAAACGTACTGAAAGCGGTTACATCAAACGGTCTGCATCATCCACAACACAGTCATTCTTGGCCGGGACACAACCCAATCATGCTTTCCGAACATGCCTAATTACTGCCACTGCGGTTCAAATTTGCTAATGTTGCGCCCAGTTTGGTGAAGGGACCCTCTTTAATGTGATTCACCGCCGCTTATTCAGGGTCTGGCCATTGTTGGGAAGATCCTCTTTAATGTCTTTTGGTGCTGGGGCCCTAAAACCTGGCACCGAATCCAGACCACTCCCGGGGCCCTAGTTTCGTGGGACCCTTATTCAAGACGTCTAATTCCTATTTTTCTGGGGGCCCTACTGCTAGGGGGGAGGCAAATTTAAACCGGGTCAAACATTATGCATCACCGGACAACATGAACCATAGTCTAAACTCCTAGTATCCCGCTTAATAACCCCTATAATAGTTCCCTATATATTCCCCTATATAACCCCCCCTTGAAGGAGTTTAGACTCTAGCTCACACGTTTCAACATCTTCAAAGCGCCACACAGCAGCAACTTTGAGTCGTCTCAACTGGCCGAGGAGCCGTTCCGGTGACTGTTGAGCAACCGCATCTCGCCACGAAACCCGGAATGGGCTCGGGAAAGTGTCTTAACGATTCCTGAACCCCTGGCTTGTTATTCTGGCTTGCAGTTGCGCCGACATCACCATCATAATGCGCCTATGATGGAGGCACTTCATAAATCATGACCACAAGTCCCCGGATTCAAAACGGGGCAGGAGCCGATACGTCCTGGGGTTCACGCGCATCAAGTTTTTCTGTTGAAAGGGTAGTATAGATGTCGCGAAACGACCCTGCTATGTTGGGATTATTTACTACTGTATAAAGGTGGGGTCAAGCGGAGTCATTATTAGGAAGTGGTTTCTTACCACCCTACAACTGCGCCTTAACCCAAAAGGCAAGGCTAGGGATTTAGTAGATGGCGGTAAGTTATCGCTCACCAGGACCCAAAAGGTACATAGATGATGGCAGTTTTCTGGGTGTTGGGTCATTATTCTAGCTACTGTTGAGGTGCAGCTAGCCCTTTCCCCCTCATGCTCAACAATGCCCCGCCCCGTAGATCCTACTCCTTCGAACTACAGTCCATATTCTCGACAGAGTTTGATGGATATGGGCTTCATGTTAAGGACTACATTAGGGACTATACTAAATTACAACAGGGGCCCCTATGTCTAACGTTAATGGTCCCTTAACCCTGGTAATGACAGTAGCTCAAATCTTTCCAAGTGTGGCTCCACTAATTGGCAGGCAAATAGTGTTCAGGGGTACGCGTGCTCAATGCAAGGGGCCAGCGATTAGTTGCTTTAAAGGTCCTTTAAGTAAGTGGTCTTGCGTAGTAAGGCACAAAGTCCAAAAAACATGTCACCCTTGCGGGCATTCTCAGGGAGAATCATCATGCATTATGTCCCTACTGTTACTGCATGACCTTCATATATTATAGTCTCAAGCTTCCTGAGGTATACGATACGTAGGATTATGCAGGATTTTCATTGTCCACTGTATCACCTATGCTCCAGGACGCTCTTGATGATGACATACGATGAGGGAAGGGTTTCTAGAATTGAGGACGGATGCAACACATGTCTTGAATCATTTGATAAGTAGCTTTGGGAGCATCCTTTGCAGCCCACTGGCCCTACTCCTTTGTAAGACTCCTCATGCGCTCTGTTCAGGCCCAGTCATGCAGGGCTTAGGATTTGGGAAACTAAACGGTTCTGACCCTCAGGCCCACAGGTACAAGATCTTGATAACGATTAGACTATCATTCGCAATTCGCAGCATACAGACTTCCTCCTTGTAGGGCAAAATCTCTAAGGATTGCAATATCTGACCTAGAATTACAAAAGGTCGGGATCCCTTTTTGGGAGTCCCGAAAGATATACAGGGGGACCCCAGGGTTATTGGTTCAGGGTCGACCGGCAGAGTCCTGATAACAAGAACTCTAAGAGTGGATCTGAATGTCAAGAAATGACCCCTAAACCCTAAACCGCATGACACCAGGACCCTGCATACTGAGAATCCTGCAAGATACTTATTAATTGGTTCCTAGTGTCTTCAGTGTGACCTGGGAAAAAAAAAAAAACGTTCTCAAGCAGGCTCCTGATAGAGGCACCACTTAAGCATACCACGCCTTCCTATGGCTGTCTTGGGCATTGCTTTGGTGGTTCCTGTAGTCGACCTATGATAAAAAATTATGTTTACTAATTCCTTCGGGGTATACTATAACATAGTTACTTCCTATAGAGCTCCCTATTGCTAGCTAAATCATGAAGGATTGCGTCACACCCGCCGATGTTGAAGCATGACATTCCACTGCCTGCTTTGCTTCTCAGATGCGCTTGCAGCGTTCGCTACAATGCGCGGGTACACATCAGTGGAAACAGGACTCCACGGTGAAACTGGGGTGGCAGATTACCTAGACCCCATGCGCTGCCCGATTCTTGGATACGTAGCATGTACTTGCCGCAGGCATTCACTCATTAGCGGACGTGGCGCAGCATCTACCTGCACTGTTCATGGAAGCCTGACCAAAATTCGATTTCAGCTCCGAACTGTGGAGTATACACGGCAGAAAGAGGGAAACCCGGTTCACAAAACGAAGGCCCAGCTGCAGGATGTCGGGATGATAAAGCGCGTTGCTAGCCGATCCTTGCCGGTTTCCAAACTCCAAGCGGAAAGATAAGCTGGAAGGTGGCAAGTTCAAGATCCCAAAGATTCAAGGTAGACACCTTACAAACCTAACCCCTGTAAGAATCAAGAATTCAAGTCAGAATCGTGGAAGTAGATGGCGTACCACGGGCAAAGCGACAAGGCGCAAAGGAAAATGAAGAGGACTAACCAGGACAACTTCGGGCCATTGATGAGCATTCCTTGGTACAGACAATTGGGCAGTTGTTTTTGGTTGAACCAAGTAATTTAAACATGTTCTAACAGCAATATTCTCTTCCTCTACACTGGGGACTATAGTAACCGCTTAGTAGCCACATTCACTGTATTTCTCAGGTGAATTGCGGGTGCTTGTGGGGATGGGCAAAGAATCCCTATAACCATCCATGTATAATTCTCGTCAGTGCCCCATTACAGTACCTATATTCTCTTCCCCACGGCCCCTCAAGCACCAATAAGCTGAGCGTGGTGGCATAACCAGGGGAAAAATTACATTGTGCACAACTCGTTAGGGGCACCAACACGAGCACTACTACCACTACTACCAGCACCACTAGTACGAACAGTAATGATGACCACAATGATGAGTCCTTGGTTGCCACTATTTACCCATGATGATGCCTGTTAGTATTTGTATGGCTATTGAACGCTAAGCCTTAAAGTAGCTTCCATTTTCTCTTCCACTATCACAATATAACCCCAACATATAACCTGTTATATTATATTAATGTCCATTTTCTTTTCCATTCTCCCTATATACCCTAAAGCCTAAACCCTACATAGTAGTTTCCATTTTCTTTTCCATTACCCCAATATGACCCCAATATCTTCATTAATGATTACGATTCATGATTTTTGCAGCAAGCAGGTATCGCTGCACCATCTTAATCTTGGAGGCTGGGGTTTGCAGCTGAGATAACGAGGCCTTCTTTTGCGGTTCGACATGACGTTTCTTAACGCTTCTCTTAATGTCTCCTGATTTAGGGTTGTAAGGTTTAGGGATTTAGGGGTTTGGATGGTTAAGGCTTTAAGCGTTTAGGGGTTTAGGACTTTAAGGGTTTAAGGGTTAGGTAAGACAGGTGTTAACTCGGGGCCCAGCGGCCTGTGAAGCAACCGTATGCGGCTCCCAGGAGCGTAAAACTGAAGGTAAAAGGCAGAACCGCCGCCAAGGACATGACAACTATCCTGTCAGCAAATACAGGTTGCTCCCATCCCGAATCCATTACCCACCTACCCCATGTAGGGCTAAGGATTTGAATTTATGGTCTGTTGTAGAGACCCTACTGGACAAAAACATATCTAGCTTAAAAATGTAAAGAGCACCTGGTCGCAAGCGAAGCCGTGCTTTGAAATCCCCAATGGAGCATTCTCAGCCTTCATTGCTGTAGGAGGTTCATGGAATTTAAATGCTGGACATAGCCGGGCGGGAAAAACAAAATCTCCAAGCACAAGCCGGCCTGACCTAGGTTCCCCAGCTACATGTACGATCATAGCCTTATAGCCCCTGTCTCAGTTCTTGCCAGTTACCCTTGAACCTCAATGCAGATTTATGGACTTGTGGTTCAGGGTTTAGGGCTAGGTGTGAAGCATTCCGACTACACATTGCCCTCGAATACGCTGGTAACCACAACAACCCAAACGTTCCAGCGAGTCTGAGCAGCAAGAGCGGAAAAGTTGTTGGCATAGTTGCAAGCGAGAGGAGCACAAAGACACAATCAGCAGCATAGAGCTGCAGCACTGACTGGTAACCCTCGGCTTTAAGGGCAGACCGCAGAGAGCCGTACCCATCGTACGACAGAAAGTTGGAAGAAAGCAGGAATAACCAAAACGGGAGAAATGCCTGCATGCAGGTGGCCAGTGGCAAATCTGTTGCACCGCCGCAGTGGCGGAGGGTAGCTCGCCTGAGCGGCCCTCGCACATCTGCGTTAAAGAGTTCTAGACATTCGGCCACGCTCGGATAGCTGGTCACAGAGCGCACGGCTGCACTTCTGAGCACGTTGGATTCTTGCAACAGCTGTTCCCCCTCTGCTGCAGGTGGTGTCAGCCGTGGCCATGCTTCCTCTGTAGAATCCAGGGCCACGCTAAGGGGAAGGTCATCAATCTCATCGTAGACGGCAGCGATTTCAGCTTCCAGAATGGGCCTGTCCGCACTGACGGTACACTTTGCCTCATGCACATCGAAGCCCTCCAGCTGGCTCAGCATGAAGCCATGCTGCTGCAGCTTGACACTGAAGGATACAGCCGCCGCGGCGGATGCAGGTGCATACGCAATGACACAGGTCAAGCTGTACAGCAAGCCATACAACAGGCAGCCATAGTAAGATGAACCGAGTGACGAGCCCAGTGTCGCCTGCCATTCACCCACCAGGGGGAGCAAGAGTTGGAAGGTGCGCACGCTGACCCAGTCCAAAAGCATTGTCACCAGCAGCCACGGAGCCAGCCAAACCTTAGTCCCTGTAATCTGGCAGGCGGCGTCTGAAGCATTTAAACCAGACTCTTCCAAGACAACTTTTGCTAAGGACTTCCCTGTTGAATCTGTGTCAAGGCATCCGTTATCACTGCAGAAACATCTCGCGTAATCACGGCGTAAAGGAACAAATTCTCTTTCTCACCGCCCAGAAGCTGGTACAAATGTAAGGGCACTAGGGTCGTCACCCCGCAGCTTCACGAACAAGGCGAACTCCAGATTGCACCATAAACCTCATACCAGGTTGCTGTTAGGGAACTTGAACTATGTCACCATAACGGGTTCCGTTACGATAGGGTATAGGTACGGTTAAGGGCTATGGAGCCACGGACTTGGCATATTGTTTATGCATAGGTTGAAGGCCTGCGCTGCGCCAGACAGTCTTCCTCTGAGTGAACGTGGTTCTAGAAAACACGATTTAAGGTTCAGGGCTACTTGCACTGCAAGAAGCAAACAGAATCGAGTAGGTCCGCCTTTCGGGGTGTTTCCGGGTGTGCTTAAGGGGGAGTGGGGAGGGATCAGTAGCATCATGCAAATTCACCCGCCTACTCCCAAGCACCACATTGTCATGTTGGCGTTGGAAATGTTTCTTGGCTTTTAAGTTATGGTGCTTCCTGACCCTAAACTCTAAACTCTAAACCCTACACTGCGAAGTGTCAGGTTTGAGGCTCGGTGATTGAGGGATACGGCGGCAGAAGTTTGTCGCCTCGCACTAGCGAACCCAACAAAGTTCTGATGGAAACAAGCGAGTAGCGGTCAAAGTATGTCTCGTCCCAGAGGATCAGCATGTGAGAAGATTGTCGCACAAAGGTTGGCCTAGGTTCCCCAGCAACGCCTTAATAGTAAGGGTTTAGGGATGAGGGCTTAAGGCCCGTTTTCCCAATATTCAGCTTTAACAACGTTCCGACGGGTTGTAAACGCGCGCCGGGAGGCGCGGCAGGCATGCAGCAATGTCAAAATGACTGGCAGGCGTGG